AATGTGAATCGAATTTGGCCCTTTGCATTCTGATGGTGTAGCTTCGGTTTGATCTTTACCCTTGCTACTGTTTAATTCACCAGTAACAGTTACATTGTCTCCTATTTTCTCTTCATCTTTGGAACTTATTTCCTTCACATTCAAAGGCAATGGAGGTGAGAAGTGCCTTTTGTCAGAGAGTGTGCCTGTTCACTTCCTAACACAGTTGACGGTCTGTCAGGAATGCTTTGTACAGGTTGTAAATTTAACTCCTGCTGATCGTGTAACTTGGATTCACCTTGTGGAACATCAACAAAAGAATCCTTAATTACTGGCACTTGGGAACTTTTAAGTACCGCAGACGAAGAAGCCGGCAGAGTGGCATTTAAGGGTAAGGACGTAACAACTGACACTTCTGCTAATGAAGGGGTTTTGTCATCAGTTTCCCTCTTCTTCTCATTCTCTGACACGAAAATGTTTAGTGACTCGCTAGACTGCAAAACTCCGGGCGAAGGGTCAACATATTCTGAAACTCCCGATGCGCCTGAGCTGGTAACTTCTTTTGATATTTTCAGAACGCTGGAAGACATTTCAGGAATGATAACAGAGAATTCTTGGTCTACGATATCTAATTCAGCACTCTTCTCTTCTGAGTTGTCAGCAGTAGATGGCTCTCCAGCCTGTTCTGCAGGAACTTTCTCTTGGTCTTGACTTTCTTTCTTTTCATAAGATTCACCTTTATCTTTTTCATGAGCTACAATTAAATTTCGCTTGTAATCACCACTCGTGGCTAAATTCATTGATACTGTAAAATTTTCATTCTTTGAAAACAGTATTCGTCCCAAAAACACCCCAGACTGTAGTGCCCAATACCTGAGCAAACAACTGACATGCTGACGGAGCAGGACTACATGTACGAGTGTCTCCTCGTTATCTGCTTTGCTGCAAGGTGGACTATCTTCATGGCTTATATTACCAGACACACATTTTCCTTGTGAAACATTTCTATCACGACTGTGACCTTGCTTTACTAAACAGGCATTGTCACCACTCATTTGTGAATTTTCGTTGAGCTCTTCATGACCAACAAGAGTGACAATTTGCCCTTTGCTTTCACCTTTGGGATTCCTTCTCAGAAGCAGTCATTTTATTGTCTTGGGCGCCGAGTTTACTATCATCTCCTTCCTTATCTTGCTTGTTATCATGCCCATTTCAGTGAATTTCTTGACCAGATTAAAAACTGTATCAGCTGCTCTTTCCAGCAGATTTTGCTCCTTAGGTTGATCTTCAACCTTGGCACTAGGATCAGGAGGTAACACTGGCACATCACTGTCACTGTTATCATTCTCTTCCTGTCCATCTGTTTCATGGTCTTCCAGCTCTTCCATCATGCTGCTGCCGTGCACACGCAGAAGGCTCAGTGGGCAATAATGCTCTGAGCCAAAGTGACTCAACATCTCAACCTAATTGAATTAAGGACAACACATAAAGGTATTAGAGGTTTATGTCACACTATTTGCCACAATGTATCTGTTTAAAAAGCTAAAAATTGTCTTCGCATCGACAGAATTCCAAAAAGAAAGAAATTTCTACCTACAAGGTACTTAAAATAAGGGATTCGTTAATAAGACAACTATAAGCATCATATGTGCAATGTCTTGTTCTTTAAAGCCTTAGACGAAACGAGCATGATAAATGTGTTGTACACACTAAATATGTCGTTCATTAAGCCACAAGACGGCGAAAAGGCGCGATACATGAGTGACATATCTCGTTCTTTAAAGTCTCAATGAGACAAAACAAGTGTGATGAATGTGTATTTAGGATGTTAGAAAGTTGCTGAGCATAATAAACCTTCTGGCCACAGCTGTTCAAAACTTGGATAGCACTAATATCCACAATATAAATCACTATCCGGTAGATAAGTATTAGGAAACCAGTCATGTTATCCAGTAGATACGTGTAGTGACTTATCAATTGGATAATGTTATCCATTTTTAAACAACTGCAGCATGATGACTGACTTTGGCTTTGGGCGACTTGACAGCAAACTGTTCACAGATTCATACCTTAAAAGTACTTGGCATAGATTGGTTCATCTAGTGGAAAAGTTTGTATCGTTCTTTCCTCAGGGAGCTTGAAATGTCCCTAACATAGTCCACTCTCGTGGGATATCTTTTACTGACATACACCCAAAGCTTTCAGGAGTAGAGAGAATAGTTCAAAGTTTGCAATTTGTATGCTTTGACTTGAGCCAGGTCACATAACTCAACAATAAACCACACTCGGGCGCTACACGGATTTAACATATACAAATCTCTATTTTCGACCAAAATACTGTCAACATTAGATGCTTCACTATTGTGATCTAAGATCTTTGCACCACAGTCTACTGAAGCGTAATTGCTTTGTTTTCGTTCCTTTAATTTCTTGAGTTTGGGTGCAGCTCCACTTGAGTTCTCAGCACTCTGCTGTTTACTTTTCTCTTCTTCCTCCTGCAAAACTCTTCTTTTAAATTCATCAAATGAAGGCATTTCTTCTTCCTTCAGTTTGGTTTCCTCTTCTGCTGCTTGGTTTAAAGCTGCCCGTTATGCTATCTTCTTCCTCCTTTGGACTTGTTGCTGAAGGTGCAGTAGGCGTAGGCTCACTGCTGATTGGATGGAGGGCTGCAATAGTAAACAGATAAAAAATAAAAATTATCCGTAAATAATATAATTTAAGGTAAATAGGAGGAAACTAATGGTGTATTATTTTCATTCTTTAAATTTACCCCTTCATCTGTTTTTTTCACCATGTGGTAGTTTTAATTCATTGCACTGTAAAGTTTACTTACATGGAGTCTACAACTGAAGAGAACACCTCTGGCTCTTTTTTTTGCTACCACTCCCTCAGAGAAAGTGCCAGCTCTAACATTTTGACTTCCCCTAGGATGACTGAATCTGGCTTGGATTACTGGGAGGTATAAGGATTACTGATGAAACCATGTATTCTCTTGGTTGTGAGTATGAGTCACTGCTACTTGCATGGTTTACGACAGTAATGGACAAATCAACATTATAGCTTGGGTGGCTGGAGCCACTGTTGGTGTAACAAGTTCTTCCAGTTCTGATGTGGACAGGAAGATACTTGAGGAGCTTCTTGTGATGGTCAATGAGTCATCTGATAAAGGCAATTCTTGATTCTTTCTGTAACAAACGAAAGGTGAAATCAATTTAAAGAGTTCTTAATTATGCCCACTTATGCAAAGTCCTCTGCCCAAGGCCCTTCCTCCCTGTGGAGGAGGAGAAACTCTAACCAATAAATTTCTATAAGACAAGAAAGTTGTGAATCACAACACTTATCTATCTGAAGTTCATTTCCTACAACAGGGCTTAAGCATGGAATGAAATACTCAGCTGTATGTACTTTAATAGACAATGTCACTTTTGAATTTTAAGGTGGCTACATTTCTGTAGCCAGTAGATGGTAACGTAGCAGCCAGTTGAATATGTCAGGGCAATTTATCATGTTAATGAGTTAATTTACTAAAACGTGTTAATTGATAAGTCAAGCTTTTATTAATCAATTGGTTGTACGAGCCTTCATTGACAACAGCATTGGTTGTCTTCAATCTTCTAGGCAGTGCAGTTTTAAAGAGTCTGTGGCTGTGCTTTGGAGAGGAGGGTATTCAAAACTACTGTATTTACAGTATACAATTTACATGTACTTTATCAACAAAGCACATACATTATAAAGCCAGACCCAGCAACTTATTGCAAGGTGTTTCAAGGGCTGAAAGGTCAAGTAAAACAGGCAACATTTTTGTTCAAGTTGTCACAATCCATTAGAAGTTAAAAAGTATTGTTGCCCATATTACAAGCTGAACAAGCAACATGTTGCACAAAAAATTTCAGTGCAACACCCAAGAGTGAAGACACTGTATTTGTTCACAAGTCACTTCTTGTAACCAAAATTATCTCTTATTTCAAGTCCCAGTGTGCAAAGAAATTTGTGTCCAATAGCCTGCGGCTAGGGGATTGTGCTATTGGGCTAGTGAATTCTGTTCTTAACTAATTGCCCGCTGGGCAGGTTAAGTTTTTTGGGGAATTCAAATTACAGATATACAATCCTGCTCATCAAATATTTTTTTTTTCAGGGCAGTTAAAGAGACTCTTAGGCTAGTACATGCTAGATACAGCTCGCCCAAATGGCAAACCGTCAAACTGACTTTCTTTACTCCCTGAGTCCCTTTACAAATTGGTGGCAAATCCCTCAACATCCAAAAATAAATCAAATCCCCATAAAAAACTTTTGCAGGGTTATTGTTTCCCATCCACTAGTATTAAAATTAATACAAGGGTTGGCCATACACTGCAAGACTCACTTTGAAAGGCCAACATGTGTGAAAAAAGACTTGACTTATCTAACGTACATATGTACAATGTATAGGATTTTCTCAATGAGCATAACTTACATGTACAACACTAAGAGTTTTAACATACATGCAAAAGCGCAAATAATTTTTTCTGTGATCTGAATTTTCTTTCTGGTTATTAAATTTTGTGTGCTTTAAATCATGAGAAATTTTATTTGCATCTTTAATTTCAGGATTTTTTTTTTAGAATTGCAAAAAACAAAATTGGCCAAAATCTAAGATCAGTGAAATTTAGAACCAATAAGGTATATACATGTATTTAATACTTCTGCCCCAGTATCTGGGTACAAGAGGAACAAGATGTTTTCTTTTGGCAAAAGCAGCTCTCAATGATTTAGTTGAAGTTTGGTTTGACTTGCCTGGATCTATGCCCGTCAGGCAAGTTTGCTTTAGAAGTTACTTGCCAAGTAACAAAATCTAGTCATCCTGGAATACCAGACAGGACTTTTTTCGACCCTGAAACAGTGACCTTTTTCTTTGTTTGTCTACAAATCTACATGACCAAAAATAGATGATGTCTTGCAGTTTGTCTTAACATGGCTTCCAGTGATTGTGACCACTGCTATAAAAAGTTCAACAAGCTGAACAATCATAAGGAAATAATATT